TGATAGGTCCTTGTGTTCCTCTTCCACGATCTCTTTCTCCTGCATTGGTTCTTTCCAGCTCCAATATTGCCCCCATAGTCTTGCTTCCTTGTCTGAATGTCTTGTAGTACGTCTACAGATATTGAAACCAAGTTGACATATCTACAATGGCAAACCAGCTACACCGAGACTCGACCATATCGAATTGCCCAATTTGGCCGCAAAAAGGCGAAAAATGAACAAAAGAAGCCACATAATCTAATATTCCAGAAAGGGGAAGATATCGAGGTTATTCGAGATATCAAAGGAATGAAAGAAGATCAGAAGTTCACTCTCGAGGCAAATGGCTTTGTGTATCGGAGGTACCCTCCGCCCTGGTCCACCACACCAAAGGATTACTGGGACCCAGAACAGATTCGAAATGTCTTCCTGCCGGAATGTGAAGCAATTTTGAGAAATGAAATCGAGGGGGTTGATCGGGTGTTTATCTTTGATTGGAAAGTGAGCAACAGCATTTTACATCCAAGTTTGGCTTTTGCTTACCTTTTATCATAAACAGGTTCGGAAAAGGAAGAGCGCAAAGGAGCGACGAACTAGAAACCAACATCTGTTGAGTTTTGCCCGATATGTTCATATAGGTAAGTCAAAGTCAATTCTTGCCGTAATTATGTTACCAAGAAGATTCAATTCATACTGAGATTCAATACGTGGATATCATTACTGACAAAATTTAAGACACGTTACTCACAAAAGACAAAATTGGGACCTCTATGACTGAACGAATTCGCAATCATCTTCCCGAAGAAGCCCACTACCTTCTTTCCGGGCGAGTACAAATGATAAAGTGAGAGCTAGCCACCATACCCTCCCCCATTCGCTCTTATAAAACATATAAAAGAATTTGTATTTTGAACTTTAGCTGACTTGAGAAATCCAAGCATGTGGCGCCCCCTGAATGGACCAGTTGAAGACCATCCTATGACTGTGTGTGACGGACGAAATCTAGACACATCTAAGCTAGTCGAAAGCGATATGATTCGCGGCGACTATACAGGAACACTGTTATATCCACTGTATGAGCCAAAAAAGACTCGCAAATGGTATTATATGAGCAAACAGGGTGTTGAAGATGTACTCCTGTTCAAGAGCTTTGATTCGAAGGAGGGAAGTGTGAAATGTGAGTGCAATTCCCATTCTGAATTTCATTGTCTCTCCTGAGATCCACGCAAGCGAGTGAAACAGGAAAACAAAAGAAAAGAGAGAGTCTAACTAGGCATTTACCGTGTTTTAGATGCCCCTCATACATCATTTGCATTGCCAAATGCCCCGGATAATGTATGTCCTAGGGTCAGTGTGGAGGTTAGGGCTTTGGTATTTACGCAATTGACGTAAAGCAACTGGCAAAAGGCAATTGGCCTAGAATTAGAGTGACATAAATGTTGATGAAGCTCTTTTTTGAGGGCAGAAACTGCGACATAGGCTAAGAAACACGACATAGTCCACTATCATCCCAACTTTCACTTCCCACTCCCTTCCGAACGATAAACAGATCACCAGGATCCCTCCGTTTCTTGATACCCCGTAACCGAGGATAGTTCTCACCCCAAAATGATTCCTGGAAATTCACTTCATCTGCATCAGCTTCATTCCCGTACGCACCCATTTTCCCTGGCTCAAGAGATCTGAGCATGGGCACATCATGCTCCGTGATATTGGAAGCAACAGCTTCCTGCTCTTCAAACGTCATATCCGCACTCATAAACCGCACAATGATCACGTGAACCATCGTATCCCGCCATGCAGGGTTAAGTCCAGACTTGATATCACGATTCCTGGAAACCTGGCCACCAGTAACAACACCGACCACTGCTTCTTCCGGGCCAAAACTGAGACCCTTGAGGCCTTTGGTAAGCTGCGTGGAATTTCCCGACTCAAAGAATGAGCGAGAGACAAGACGAGATGCCAAACGTGTTTGGAGGCCGGTTGTATCGTTGCCTGAGAACAATGCCAGGTACATGCTCGACATGGAAGGGAATGCCACTATGCCATGTAAGGGTGCAATCCCTGTCGCGTTTTTCAGGTCTGATATCACCGGCGACATGAGCTCCCCAATGGATTTAGTGTTTGTTTGGTTAACGAATACTTGCACTGCCAAAAATGTTGACACACCGGGAGTCGCGGAACTGGAATCGGGGATAATCCCATACCAGCCTGAACCACCATTGTCATTGAGACGAACAATATGCTTCTGAAAAGCATCAACACCATTCCAGAATGGCTCAGCAGCCGTCGTGCTGTAGTTCGTCATCGTGTATACTACCGGGTAATCGGGGTAGGCCTTGACAGTCACGCTGACAACCACGCCGAATGACCCGCCACCACCGCCTCGTAATGCAAAGAAAAGATCGGTGTTTTGATAGGCGTTTGCAAATACGAGTGAGCCCTAGCATAGCCTCAGCGTCAGAAACCAGGCAATATCCTTGGAAAATTGCCATTCGGGAAGTCTTACATCCGCGAGAACAACTTGGAACTCGAGCACGTTATCACTGGCCATTCCGTGCATCCAACCCAGATATGAATGTCCGCCTCCTTGTACGTAGCCACCGGCAACGCCAACTGTGTTTGAGGCTCCTCCTACCACCATCACACCCTTGGAACCCAGATACGCGTACATCTCGCGTAATTGGACACCTGCGCCAAGAGTCACAGCCTTGATCTTCTCCGAAGTCGCCGTTCCAGCTGGCGTCCTGGGTACAAATTCATCGGCAACAGAGATGTTTTTGAAACCATGGGTAAGAATCTGTAAAGAATGCGGCGCAGAAGACCGGCCAAGGAAATCATGTCCAGTATTCTTGATGACAAGCTTGATATTATGATGGGCTGCGAACTTGACAGCTGCCTGGATATGTTCTGCCGTCTGTGCTATGACAGAGAATAGTGATATGCGGCCTTGTTTGCATGGTGTTGATTGATCAGTCTCGACGTAGCATTGCTCCTCTTCTTCAGGCCAGGATTCCCAATTCTCCCATTGCAGGGCACCTGGATACATCAGCACAAGTCAAAGTCAAAACTTGTAGAGCTGTGTATGAGATTTAAGGCTTCGAACCTGGCTGGGATGATCTGTAGGAAGAACTGTATGTATTCTCCTTTACAATGGTGCACTCGGCATCATTGAAGTTGGGGTCATGACAGGGGTAGCCGAATGGCTTCACTGCAATCAGATTGCCTTCAACTGAAGAGTTCAGGGAGACCCAATTGGCTTCACTTGGCCAACAAGGCTGACTGGGCTGGCAGCGACAGAATGCCGCAGTGGTTGAACCTCCACTGGTGAGGAGCGCACCTAGGCTCAGTAACCAATGCCTCATCTTGGGGTGAGAACTTTGTGGACGGACACGGTACTTTCGCGATATCTAGCCCTTTAATTTGAACCACATCGTAAAATGCATAGAAAAGAGACGTGTTTATTTTCTTTTGGTGAGGAATGTATCACATGCAACCATTGACAGGTCATTGCTCATATTGGAGAAAAGAATGCAAATCCCACACAGTAAATGCATGTTCATTGCAATATTGACTATCATTGCAGATAGACGCTTTGCAAAACACCCGCTGATAGGGGAAAGTAATGCTTAAAACCGGGGACATGCCTATACGAATGCTCTTGGATTGGCTTAATCTTCCTGCAAGGAGACGAAGTCAACCGGAACAACCAACACCAAGGTTAGACGTGTAAATAACTTCTCGACCAGAAACGATACATGTAACAATCTAGGCAGCTTCAGTTGTGGGTCCGCCAAAGAGGCGCAGTTCGTGAGGAAAAATAAGTCACTACATACAGCCCTACAGCAATATCCGAAATCATATTCCCGTGAGACACGAATAGTTTCTCTCGGTCCATACCCGAAAGCAATCTAAGCCTGACTTAACCTGGGCGTGCTGTTATTCCCCCTTATTAGCTTATTAGTCAGTCCCTAATAGACACTCGTGGACCTGGGCAGACCGTACTCCGCACTCTCCCTTGCATGGATGATACCCGCTTCTGGAAGCTATTGGAGTATCACTTTTTGAAACTTTATTACTCAATGTTTTTATGTGTAAAACCTGACATTTAAATAGATTATTTTATAGAGAAATGTCTAGGCAATTTAATGCTTGTAAATCAAATTGCATTTCTCCATATAAGAATTTTTTCTGAGCTTACTGGTTTTACAAGACGTAAATACGGCTACTATACCGAAGATCCCTACTAAGAATTTGGCTTTTTGTTCGAACAGTGCATCAACAAGGTCGGGGCTAAAGATGACAGAGCTAAAAGCCATTTTCGGCACGCACGCTTGACTGTTGAAGACTTGCACATTCTCCTTCTGGTGACATCTTTGCATTCAGCGCACTGGTGGACTAACACTGAACTTAACAAATTGCTACCTCTGAGCCTCAGATTTCGCATGCAAATTGAGCCACAGCTGTCAGAAGCGAACAGAAGCCCCTAGCATCAATTTGGACTTTCCCCACCGAATGGGTATAGCGCCATAATAAGGTATACAACAAGGCCTGGCCTGGTTCTCAGAGAAGGGCAGCTTCACAAGAAATATCTCCTGCGCCAATGATATCAACTCTGCCACTGTCGTCTCCACAACTTCCTCTCTTGCTCCTATCTCTTTTATGTCTTTGCTGCTTCTTCGTCCTTCTCAATACTAGCAATTAATCTATATTCCGCCCACATAATTGAAGACAGCGCGTCTTTTTCCCACACAAATTCTTTGTTCACCATTGAAAAGAAGTATCTATATGTGAGTTTTGCAACAATGAGACGTGTCATCCTGAGGGCCAGATTGCTTCCTGGGCATGCGGAAAGCCCAGTTGAAAATGGACGGAATGCGTCAAAGTTGTCATTTGTCGGGGCTTTGGACCATCTTTCCGGCCAGAATCTGTCTGGCTCCGTCCAATACAATGCCGACCGATGCATCGTGTAAATGTCAACAGACATTTGTATCTAAAGGTTTCATGAACATGTTGCCACTTCAAATAAGTTCACTGGAACCACTTACGCCTTTAGGAACATATATACCGTCAACATATAATCCTGGAGATGTTCGCGCAAGGAACCTCCCGCTGACTGGAGGCAGCAGTCGCAAAGCCTCATTGATGCAACCACTCAAGAATGGAAGCTGCATAAGCTCTTTATCATTTATGGCTTGGACATCCTCAAACGAAGCATGCAATTCTTTGCGGAGCTTAGACAGCTGAATAGGGTCCTTAAGAAGGAAGTAAAATATCGAAGACAGTGCCATAGATGTTGTCTCGTAAGCAGCAAGCCTAATTGTCCTTTGTTAGAGCAAGCATTCGAAGCACTGAGCACCTCAATTGACTTGGGGAACTTACAGGAATACGCATAAGTTGATATTCAGCTCCATCTCAGTGATCTCTCGGCAGCTTTTGTTCTCAGAGACACCGCTAGTCATATAGTTTGCCACAGAGGTGGTAGTCCTATCCCGATTGTTGATATGACTAGATTGAATGAGTAAACGTCTCGAAGGGACACTCGAAATACTAACCGCTGGATCCCTGCATAAGGATTGAATTGGGAGATGTCAAAAAATTGAGTAAAAGACGCGAATAACCGCATTAGCCGCGTGATGATCAATTGAACACCCGGTATTGCTGAGAATATGGTAATGACTTCTAGATAAGGTGCAACAGTGGAAAACCATGGTGTAAGGACATCAACTTGTTCTGGTTGTTGTCAGCGAGAGTACGTATGTATCAATAATTTCCCCAAATGAAAACTGGGCTTACTTTTCTCCTCTTCACCAATTGGTTCCCCGAATATAATGTGCCCCAATATTTTCCATAAAGAGCCACTCAAGTAGTTTGGTAGATCCAGATCCTCACTGTTTGCACGCATCCTCTCTAGCTGAGGATCGATTTGGTCGAGGCATAGTTTATAGATTGCATCTTCATTGTGGCGTAGTTTCAGCAGACCCGAGTTGATGTTTTTCCTCACTTTTTGATGATGCACAGTGTCCGGGTTCGTAGACATAATATCGATGCCGAAGGTAATATTGAAGACCTTTGCCATGAAGGAGCCTTCTGTTGAGAGAGCGGTGCCAGCTTTACCGCTGTATATCGCGTTGTGGGCAGATATAGTTGAAAAGGAGAGTTCCGTAGGCCCGATGCGAGCGACATTCCCTATAAAATTAGCCTGACGCTCTTAAAAATACGAGGAACCCCAACCATAAGACTTGTGTAAAGAATAGATACTACTATGCCATCTGCGCTTGTGAAGTGCGCGTAGTAGCCAAAGCTAGTTTCCAGTGTAAGTGTCGTGTCATTTTCATAGACGCTGCCTTCAAAGGATGCTCTATACCGGAAAAATAGACACAAAAGCTGGCCCGGAAATTTGAGCCAAGGGATCAAACAATATCCTATAAGCAATAAAAGCAATAAAAGCAAGAAATGCCAAAGTCTAGATTTAAGGTTAATCTTGAGCCCGAAGTTGGGAAGTCCAACACGTACCAATACCACCAGCATGTTGCACGTTGCTCGAATGAGCTGGCTATGCAACGAGATTTGAAAACAGGGGGATGTGATAAGGAGTATGGTTAAGACCAGCAGAGATATGGACTTTTGCATATCAGCTCTTGGCATGGGGGTTTGTGAGCGCGGCAGGATGCCAACCAAGCATGGCCATGTGCATCCTGCAAGGGTGCCCGATGGGCGCTTGTCCTATGTAACAGATTGGGCAGAGGACACGCGCTGCAGCAACTGTGATTATAAACGCGGCGCTTAATTGCTTTCTACTTTCCGTCGCTTGATTCCCCTCATCACCTCTAGAAGCCTAGAACGTACTTTGGAGGCTTACAGTCGCTTACAATGACTGATTCTACGCTTCCTAAAGTCGACTAGAACAACCAACAGCAACATGAGACATACAAAATGACACCTCAACTAGAGAACCTGACAGACTACCTGGGCAGGTAGCTTCAATACTTGGTCAGCCAAAGAGGCGCAGTGAGGCCAGGAGGAAAAATGGGTCACTACAGCCCTACACATAGGAAGCAGTTTAATTATAGTGGAGAAAAACAAATAAGTTACGTAGCATGCTCGCATCACCAATTCATGACACAATGTGTCACAAAGAAAGCTGATGCCAAGTGGCTATGTCAATAGAATATCTAATTATTGCTGCACTTGACCTATCCAATGTAGGTGATATAGAGAGCTCTTCGACCCAAAGTCAGGCTGGCGTGTCCAATCAAGGGGCAATTAATACGAAAACCGACCGCACGAGACGCCTTGGCCAGGATATGCTAGCCAAGAGACCACTAGTATAGTCCGAATTTACTACTGAAGTAGTCTCTTGATAACCATTGGGACACACTGTCTCCCTAGAAACACTGTTCAGTAGAGACAGGTGTCACCGAAAGCTCATAGAACACGACCAACACCCAAAACGGGCATTGGCATACTCCGTAAATAACTACAGTAATAGGGCTGCCTTGCTTCGCCAGTTGAACACGTCCGCACCCCGCCTCATATAGCATCCCCTCGGGTACGCAGTCCGACGGGGAATATTGCGGGGGGCGATGCTACAGTGGAGGTCCCAAGAGCCCAAGGACGTAGGCAGAATGATAAACTGCATTTAGGGGGAGGCTGAGGTGATGAAAGTAGAGGCTTGGACAAATAAGGGGGCGCAGCATAAGTGTTGAGAGTCACGGATGTGGCTGCACGAGACATAGCATACACATTATGTGCACAATCCGTGGCGCATGCAGTGGCGCATACAGTGGCGTGGCTTTAATTTACAATGAAGAAGAATATCTGAAGCCGGCAGCAGATCTGTTAAAGCGAAGGTATCCGAGTGGCCGAAAACGGAGGTGGATCAGGAACAGACGTGGAATTTAGAGGCAGTGCACGGGTAACATCGACGCTGCGCCTCACAGTGTTCTGTTAAGTCAAGGAAATAAATAAAGGCGAAGATCCAGACTTTTCTTTCATTCTTACTCTGAACCACTGGAAACAGATTAAAAACGAGATTTGCCATTTGCCATTTGCCATTTGCCTTAGGCTTATCCGGTGGCAACCTTTATCCCTTATCCTTTATCACCTCCCTCATCTCCAACATCTACACACCAACACACACACACGCACACCACCACCACAATGGCTTCTTCAACTATGGCCTCTACGTTCAGTACTCGCTCTTCGCGCGCTTCCTCGCGACCTTCATTGTCTATCGATGTCGCCAACCTCCCCCCACTCTCGCAGCCAACACCGCCCTCAAACACACTCTTGATCACCGATCTCAACGACCTGATCCTATTCCAGCCCCCCTCTCTGGATGAAATCCGCGCCCTGATCACAGCTGTTGCACCTCTAAACTCCTTCTCCCCCCTCCCATCCATGCGCCGCATCGTCTGCTCCTTCCACACAACCGAAGACGCCACCACCATCCGCAAGATGCTGGATGGCAAGCGCCTCCTAGAGCGCAACGTCCGACCCCGCATCTACTTCGGCGAGCCGACAGCTATCCTAGACGGCGGACGACCCAAGCTTCTCGAGGCCCCGCAGGTCGACAAGCTGTTCTTCATCTCCCCGCCTCCCAGCCCGCCACACGGATGGGTCTTGCGCAACGAGGACCCGCCCAACAAGGAAGTCCACGCCACCGACCTGGCGCAGGCCCTTTCCATGCTGAAGACCGATCAGACTCAGCCCGCGCCCGCGGAATCATTCGGCGTCGACCCTTCTACTCCCGTTTCTATCACATCGGACAAGCGCACGCCCAGCTGGCCGATGGCCGGGTCGCAGCAGCGCAGTCGGAGCAGCACGATCATCTATCACCCTGAAGACCACGGCGACAGCCCCAATCTGCCGGCCGTTATGGTTGAGGATATGACGTTAACGGTTGAGGATGTGGATATGGATACGGAGATGGATACTGATATGAGCCCGATTGAGATGTCTCTTAAGAAGATGCCTCCTAAGACTTCCCGTCCACCTGTCGAGCTTATGGAGTAGTGGGATTTGAGATGACGAGTGCATTGTTTTTGCATTTCTTTTAGCGATGGGTTTCTTTTCTTTAACTGTACAAAGACATCCGCAACTTATTTGTGACTAGCTATCTGGAAGGCGTTGGGAAAGCATGGGTATATCAGCAGCGTTTCGGATTCCGGGTACGACTTCAGTCTTATTGCTTTTGCTAAAATCTTAATTCTGTATGCATATCATATTATTATCACGCATTCTTTTCTTTCTGTGATATATGTGTAAACCTATCAACCGTTCATCCGAGCAAAGGATACCGGAGCAATTTTAAATGTGATCGATTTCCTCTCCGACCTTCCATACCACAGTACTGCACGAAGAGCAAAGGCCCCGAATGTCGCTTCACGCAAAGGTTTTGGGTTTCTTGCTACGAGTGTACACAATGTCTTCGAGCTTAGGGCTGTACTTCCACAGTTGTATTGGTTTTTTGTACAAATCCTCACCCTAGTACTCAACCTCAAGCCTTAACCAGAGGCCGATAGATAGCCTCCCACATCTGCACCTGAATCCACTCCCTCAGATCCGAATCTTTAGTAGGAATATCTTCTTCCTGAGCGAGACCTTCATCCACAGAGCACTTGATCACAGCAGCCGCAATATCAACGCTAATCTCCCGCGCATCCTCCACATCAGGAAGTAAAGGCTCATTCGAGTCTTGGAGGGCAGGAGCTCGTGCCCCAAGAGCCTTCACAGCCGCGACTAGCATCTTCTTCGATAGGAGCCTGCTTCGGGAGAGGACAGCGCCTAGACCGATACCTGGGAAACAAGTTGAGTTATTGCATTCCGCTAATACGAGGAGCAAGCTTGTCAGTTCAAGTTTATTATATACTTCGCTTTCGGGTAGGTCTTACCAATATCGTATTTCGCACCTCCATATTCAACAGGTGGAAATGGACTCCCTGTTGCAACCAGAGCACGCCCTTCGGTCCACTCGTAAAGATCCTTCGGCTCAGCCTCGTGAAGGCGTGTCGGATTACTGAGTGGGAAGATGATCGGTCGTTCAACATGCTTAGCCATCTCCCTGACAATGTCCTCCGTGAATGCTTTTGGTTTCGTGGATGTTCCAATAAGAACGTGGGGATGAACCTTCTTGATCACAGAAAGTAAGTCACGACTTTCATCGGCAGGCCAGTCCTCGTCTTCTCGTGCGAATGACTTTTGGGCAGGTGTCAATTTCTCGCCGAGTGATTTAACGAGGAGTCCGGGTTTGTCGATACACCTATAGTATGAAGCAGTCTGGTTAGTATCATCTCATAGTTTTACCATCTCGTCCTGGAATATCATACGTACCATATCTGCTTGGATGCCTCTGACTTGGATCTGTGCGCCTCTGTTGTGATAGTATCGGCTATTTGATCTGCAATTCCTGTGCCGGCTGTTCCTGAGCCGAAAATTACCACACGTACTTCTTCCATCTTGACCTTGCTGACGTGCAGTGCCGCCATCATGGCGGCTAGTGTGACGCAGCCGGTTCCCTGGATATCGTCGTTGAAACATGGGATCTGTGGTTGGAATTTGTCGAGTATTCTCCTCGCATTATGTAGACCAAAGTCCTCACTGTGACTGTTAGTATGCCGATGGAATGACAATCTATAAGACAGAATGGCAAACAGGGGGCGTACAAGTGAATAAATGCCTTAGGGAATCGTTTTCGGGCGACAGAAACAAATTTGTCTACAAAGTCATCGTATTCCTTGCCTCTCACTCGGCGTTGTCGAAGACCGAGATATAGATCGTCGTTGAGCAGATCCTCGTTCTGTAAATCCATCAGCACGTCCCGCATACTATCATATCTGGGAAAGGTTGGAAATACATCAGTTCCACAGTCTAGCACAACAGGAAGTTGACGAGAAGGATGAATCCCAGCACATAGCGTGGTAATTACCAACTTCGCAACTGAAATGAGAATGGCGCCCACGCCTTGATCACCAATTCCCAAGATCTAGAGACATAAATTTAGTATTGCCTGTCCCGATTGTTTGGTTAGTACCATGTAGCTTACCTCCTCACCATCGCTCACAACAATGTAATCAATCTCCTCTTCCTTGCCGAAATTCGACAAATATTTATCGATATTATCCTGGTCTCTGATGTCCAAGAAACACCCCTCTGGCTTTCGGAACAAGCGAGAGTAATTCTGGATCGCATCCCCTTCAGTAGGAGTGTAGATAATACTAAACATCTCCTTGAGGTGGGTTTGCAAAAGCTAGACAGAGAAGGAATCCAGTCAGTAACATAATATCACGTCACAGGTAGCAGTATACTCTGCCCTGGACATATTCAGATCGGGGGTTGATCAAACCTTGTAATACAACACTTCATTCTGCGCCTTCATGCTTGCCATGAACGTATTCTTTGCCAGAGGCTCTCCTCGGCTACTATATTGATCGTAGGCACGTTGGACCTGCTCTTCAAGCGTTTGGATGTTTGGTGGGAGCATCCCATGTAAATTGAAGGTCTTGCGCTCTTCCTGGGTGAAGGCGGACCCTTTGTTGTATCGAGCGTCTTTTAGGATGGTTTTGGCCTGGGAAGTTAGATATATATTGCTCATGGTGGATGGGACTGGATGGCTTACATCGTATGGGCATTCCAGTGGCCCTGAGGCTGCGCGAGGCAGGTTCTTGAATTTGGAGGTCTCTTTTGAAGACATGATGCAGGAAAGCAGATTTTTGGCCTGGCCCGGTTGAAGTCCTTTGCTCAAGTTATGCAAAGAGAGAAGTTTGAGGGTGAGTCTGCTGGAGTTGTTGACATTGGAGTGATGTCATGCCACTCTACTTGTACCGGTTCTCGGACCCCACATACTTCAACTGCGTTTGACTACTTTGACTACAACTATTCTAACAGCTGCACTATCGGCTATTCTACACGCATTCTTATTGTTGGATCTTGTTCTTGACCCGACCCCAAGTTGCAATTCCTCGTTACGAGTACCAAATAAAGGGACCTTATCTATCTCTGCACTAGGCTAAACAAACTTCACTGGCTTGTATCCAACGATTATTCAATTGGACTCATTAATTAAATAGGTGAGATGCTTAGGTAGGGAGTGCAGGATGTCCCTCACGCCCTGTCTTCTTATTTCCATCATACGGAAGAACCAAATTCATAAAGACCCCGACGACGGCGGCGATGATGAACGGAGTCTCCACCATCAAGTTAATACCCTGTTCAAAGCCCTGCAGTCGCACATTTGAACCGCTATAATCCAAGATCTGGGAAAACCAGCTGGGCGACACAATGTCGATGAAGCCAATACCCAGTGCAGTCGTGAGAATGAAGCGATTGCGTCTCGTAAATTCAACCAGACTGAGAACTTTGATACCTGCAACGACAATCGTGCTATAGAGGAAGACTTGCATTCCCCCGAGAACAGATGGAGGCATAGAGCCAAAGACAGCGCCGAACTTGCCGAAGATTCCCATTAGAATTAAGAATCCTGAAGCACACCATCCTGCTCTTCGGCTCTGAATTTGTTCCGTGTTAGTATCACTGAGTACCTGCAAAATATATTGGGGAAACACCTACAGCGCAGCCAGTCAAAGAGATCACACCGTTGTTTCCGGCCTGGCTAACCATCGGCAAGCCCGTACCCAAAGCACTGATCAGACTGCCAATGCCGTCGCATAGGATGCCCCCTTGAATGCGGCTGTTGAACTCGATGCCATCGATCTCCACACCAGAAATCTCGGCAGTAGCCAGAATATCTGGCATGCAGCTGACAGCCTCGCAAATAAAGAGGATGAGAAGAGGCAATACCAATGCTCCATCCACTGACAATTTGAAAGTGTGAACCCAGAGAAATGTCGCGACTGGAGCGGCGTCGATATTACCGCGTGACCAATATCCAGTTGCGCCGGATATCGCGCATCCAACTGCCAGCCCAAAGACAACAGATGCGGAGCGCATGAGTGGTGACCCGAAAAGCTCGACGATGATAATTGTCACAAAAACGCTGAATCCGAGACCGATGAGCTTTGGGTGCCCCCTGATCGCACGTCAGTACTGATCTTGAAAGTACGTGGCGTTCGATTCACTTACCAGCGGAGTGGTTTTGGTGCTGCAGTGTCAGGGCACAGGGCATAATAGCCCTGGCCGCCGTTGCAGTTCGAGCTACCTCCCCAGTTTTCCATTCCACTGGAAATCAAGTACACCCCGACGAGTAGAAGGAGTGTACCAGTCACTATCTTTGGGAAGATCCTATTGAGGGTCTTCGGCGGAACGAATGATAACAAGATCTGAATCCAAACCGTGCAAAGAATGGTACCAAGCATGGCACCCCAGGCGTCAGGACAGGGAAGTCTCGATCCATCAGAAGAGGTAGGACATGTTCCATTTGCATAACGCATGCTCGCATAACTAAATGCGATAGCCAGAATGTCAAAGGTTGGACCGACTACAGATAGAAGGCCGGTGCCGATATAGAAGGGTGTTTTTGTCAAATGAACCCGAGTCACCTGCATAGCTGTTGCAATTCCGGTGGTGATGAAAGCTGCCGAGACAAGGTACTGACTCTGCTCTGAGGAGAGATAAAAGGCACCACTTGCAAGGGCCAGAGGCGGTGATACTACGGATCCGATCATAGTCAAGGCATGCTGAAGGCCCAGAATGATCGTGAGGAGAATGGGGACTTCATCGTTCAATCCGTAGAATGGGGCCTCATAGTCCTTGTACTTCTTGTTCAAGGGCCAGATATTCGGCGTCACAAGGTAAAGGTAATCCTGCGGTGTTCGTGTTAGCGTTTGCAATGACGGATGGCTCAGCTCTCGTACATAGTCTCCGATCCATCCCTCTCTCGTCGTGAAGTATCGATATAGGTACTGCCATCGGGTTTCGGCGACAGGCGAGACTTCGATTATTTGCGATCTCCTGTCATCCAAATCTAGATCTTCCTTCGGCGTTTTCCGTTGATCATCCATGTTTCATGCTCTAGGACAACCTGGTTTTGAGTGTCTGCAGACTGTCATAAGGCGCGAAATAGCCAGGATATTCTCCATGACGATATATAGCTTCTGTCAAAGATGATAACAGTATCTCATCATATCAACTTCAAGTTGTGTATCGTTCATCCTCGGCCGGAAAGATAAGACGTTGATTGCTTAGCGTCGGCCGAGGATCTGGGGTTCTGGGGTAACCCAGGAATAAATACGATCTCGCGAATTGTAGTTATTTCATTCGTTTTTCTTTGCTGGGTCATCATGACGAAGGCAGTGTCTCTCTCATGCAAACTATTCTATGGTGCGACGATTATTACAGTCAATCAAAAGCGGGAGATCATTCGTGATGGATATATCCTGATTGAAGGCGACCAAATCACCGCCGTTGGAAAGTGCCCATATCCCAATGCCTTGCCTGCTCGCACCAGAGAGATTGATTGTCGAGGCAAAATTATCATTCCAGGATTGATCAACACTCACGCTCATCTCGTCCAATCTGTGCTTCGGGGGTTGGCAGAGGATCTACGTCTACACAACTGGCTCTGTGATGCGATCTGGCCCCTCGAAGCTGTTTTCGAAGGCGAAGATGGATCCAATGCAGCACGGTTGACCATAGCTGAGATGCTGAAGACCGGCACAACGTGTTTTCTGGACCCGATGTTGACCTACCGAGCCGGGTTTGATCAAGTCTGTGCTGCGGTGGGTATGATGGGTATCAGAGGCTGTCTTGTATGTTCAGATCTCTTTTCGGTGCGAGTATCTCTAATATTTCATCTTGAATGAAACAGGGAAAGCTGGTCAAATTCACAGAAACAAATCGTCAGCTCTCAATCACCGACCCGCGAGACCGAGACCTGCTCGCCATGTCAATACCTGAGCTTCTGAAGTCACATCAAAAACATCATAACAGTCACGACGGCAGGATCCACGTCTGGGCAGCATCAGGGACACCCCGAGGCACATCAATCTCCCATTACCGCGAACTTGGCGAAATATGTTCTCATAATGGAATCTCGGCCACAATGCACTGTGCGGAGGCTCCTCGAGATCGCCTCATCTATCGCGAGACATACGGTTGCAGTGCGATGGAGTTCATTCGAGATGCAAAGCTCTGTCCTCAGCTCAAATGTTCACCGGGGCACAGCACCTTGTCACATCGCTTAGTCCTAGCTCATATGGTGAATCTTGACAATGAGGTGGACATCCCATTGCTAGCGGAGACTCAGACTTCCGTGGCTCATAACCCAACTTCCAACTTGAAGCTTGCTTCTGGTGTTGCTCCTGTTCCATCCATGCTGTCCAATCCAGCGCCTGTTAATGTTTCTCTGGGGACGGATGGTGCACCCTGCAGTAATCACTATGATATGTTTCAAGAGATGCATCTGGCGGGTATTCTTCATAAAGGTGTCAATCACGACGCGAGTCTTATTCCAGCGGAAGTGGCCTTGGAAATGGCCACGATTAATGGAGCAAAAGCATTAGGACTGGAAGACGAGATTGGAAGTCTTGAGGTGGGTAAAAAGGGTGATTTTGTGGTGATTGACCCGTATGGACGGGGTGGACTTGGGGCTGCGCCTTGGAGTGACGACTATTCGAGCCACACAGTCGATCCTGTCACCACGGTTGTTCATGGATGTACCGGTCGTGATGTCGACATGACGGTGGTGAACGGGGAGATCTTGGTGGAAGATGGGAAGTTGGCAGTCGGAGGACGAGAAAAAGAAATGGAGATTGTTCGCTTGGCTCAGAAGTCTGTTAAGGGTCTATTGGAGCGGTGCAATCGTGGCCGCGAGGATGATGCCAAAGTGGGAGCGAAGCTTATGCAGCCGTGGTCGTATGTTTGACTAGTGAGGATATCTCAATCTATTGAATTTATGTTGTATCAAAGATTCCATGATTCGGTCAAAGGATATGGTTTGTAACGCGCATCCCAGCGCAATCAAAGGAAATGTGATATCCAGAGACGGAGAAGAAGCATTTTTTAAAAGCCAATCCTTATTGAACAGGACAACTTATTACCAAAGAGCTCTTAGCCAAATTTCTATATCACCAGCCGTATGAACAAAGCCCTCTTGAAGACCGAACAAAGGCAATGTTTTAGACTATAAAATCATGCCTCATCTTCGTCTATGCACTTCAATCGTCTCTCCTCATACAATAGATACACCGAGACAACTAAATATCTTTGCATATTGCAACTGATAATATTCACTATTTTGTGCCTACTGGACCAACCAAGAAAGGCTTTCGTAGATTATGAACAGAGCAATCCCCAAGACCACAAGAACCAGCTATTGCCAAGATCATAAAATGACAGGGAATGTAAAAACACCAGTACGCCCCCAAATCGCCAGTAATCAAAACTCCTCGCATGCTTGAGCTTTCTCTTTTTTTCTAGACTGCAACGCTCAGAATCCATAGCTGGTCTGCCCATAAGGCGTAGCACCGTAGGGTGTCTGTGCACTCGCACCCCAGGCACTGGCAGCTCCGTTTCCGTAGGAGGTCAGGTTACCGTCAATGCCCTCGGGGGGCTCGTAGGCATCAGGGTCGTTGGCACCCAGCATATCGGCATCTTCCATGCCACCGGCGTGGCCGTCTTCGCCTTCGCCTGAGAGGACAGAGACGGTGGTTGCTAGCTTGCGCTGCAGCTCGATGAGCCCCTGTTGAATAATCATGTCTGGCTCGAGCATTCCGATGCTCTCCACGTCCACGTAGAAGGTGTGGGGTTCGGCGTCGTAGTCAAATGGCTGGTCGGGGCCATTTGCGGGTTCCCATGCGGCGTTTTCAGAGACGGGCCTGAGATATGTCAGCGGATGAATCCAAGCACGTTTAAAATGAAACTGAACAAGATACATACCATTCCTTCGCAGCATCCTGCTCATACCAGTAATCCACGTGCCGGAGGTTGTTGTTGGGATCATATTCAAAGCCCACAGCGGCAGTAGGCGCCCACTTAGCATGTTCCTTAGCCGTCCCCTTCTTAGCCAAGCAAGTCATCTTGATCTCCTGACCCTTCCGCAGCTTGCAGATCAACGGCCCCTTCTGCTCGGGATCGTTCAGGACCGGGTTACCAATCGTCTCGTTCACACGCTCGCCCACGACGATCAAGTCACGCGCGTACACGGACATGATACCGCTACCGCAGCGAGCGTGCAGCGAGAGTGTCACACTGCAGCGCACACAGTGGTCCTCGCAGTCGCAGTCTCGTGTATAATCCAGGTCATCGCAGTTGTTGGAGTTGAGGGGGATCATGCCCAGGCGGTGCGCGAGCATTTCGTCTGGGAGGACGGAGGTGTTGCTTTCGATTTCGATGAGGTCGAGGGCCAGTGTGGGCACTTCGGCGAGAATTGTGCGGCGAAGGGAGTTGGCGAATGCGAGGTCCACGGAGCTGAGTCTGAAGTCCACGCGGAGGGGCTCAGCCTAGAAGTTGGTTAGTTGGTTGTTCTGGTATTTCGGAGATGGCTCTGCCTACTTCGCGGACGGTTACTTGGGGCCCTGTGGGCTCTAGGTCCATCTCGTAGTCCATCGTGTGTATGCGGCAGCGCTGGTCGCTGCCACCCTTTGTCTGGAGCTGGTGTCTTGGCGCGGTGTTCAAGTAGACAAAGATGAGGGTTAGAAGGTAATTGAAATAGATGGAGAACGAAAGAGTAACCAAATGTGTTGTGGTAGAGAAGACGGGCGCGTGGTTGGAGCCGGAGTGGACGAGATCGCGGATTTGCTCCTCGGAGGCAGCTTTTTGCGCTTTGCCTAATCGGGACACGCAGTCAAAGTGCCTGACTTGGGGCATAAATCACAACTAACTACGTAGGTACTTAATACTAGCTGTGTTTGATTTTACGTCTGGGTTCTCATTTCTTTGTGCTTCCTTGTTACTTTCCTTGTTTGGAGAGTGGAAGAAGTGCTTCACATTTGGTAACGTTTGGTGTAGATGCTGCATTCAACACCTCATGCCTAGAACTGAGCGCAATGCGATCTCAGCTCATTCCTGGCATCAGCAAGGTAAGCAATGTACATTGAATGAGACAGCAAGGAGTCACTGGCTGTTGCAAAGCCCTCCTGTTGGTGTCTATTAAGGCGAAAGCAAAAGGCACAAATCAAATCACGAAACAGACGGGTAGCGGCAGCCCGTCAAGGATGCAAAAAGTAGACTAAAGGAGACGAAGCCAATAGTAGAAGCGACGAAGCCACCGTAATTTTGGAGTTGGTCATGTCGAGTCATCAAGGTTGGAGGCAGTTCTCTGAGATGCACGGGAGATGGGAGATTGGTAGAGGAGAGTAGAGAGTAGAGAACTGTTTGTTGCATGCGGGGGGCTACCGCTTCAAGGAGCTGCGATTCAACGCCTCCAATAACTCGGGTCGATTTGCGAGTGCCGTGGCCGCCGTTGAGTATGAGACCCATTGCCGTTTGCGCTTGTGCATCTCGGGCCACTCGGCTTCTTCGCGCTCCACGGTGACTTCAAAGAATTGATATGAGGCTTTTGGCGCTTGCGCCGTGAGGAGGCCGGATGGCCTCATGTCCGGGATGAGACCCAGATCGCGACTCACGACGCACACCACGCCGGCCTCCTCCCAGGCCTCGCGGCACGCAGCCTGCTCGGCGGTTTTTTCGTCCAGCTCCCATCCACCCTTGGGGAGCACCCAGCCTCCGGGTCCGGCGGATTGGATCATGAGGACTTTGGTCTTGTCGGCGGAAATAGGGACAACGCCGGCTACCAGTCGCTCGCCTTTCGATCCGTAGCCTATCACGCCGTTAGAGTCAGAGAGACGTAAGGGGCAGGCCGATCTCGCCCCACGTGCCCGCAAGAGCCACCTGAATACTCACGTTGGTTTATGCGCCCAACGCGGGCTTCCATCGATCGTATTTGTGCCATTGTCTTGAATGTGCTAAACTGACTCAATTGAGAGGATCCCCGGAAGAGCAGTGGTGATGGTCAAAAAAAAAGGTGGGGAAAAAAAGAGCAAAAAGAGCGGAAGGACTTCTAACGATTTCACTTTGATTCAAAGTGATCAAAGTGAAATTGGTCCGAATCTCTCGAGCTCCCTCAGAGCCTGGAGAGTGAGAGAGTAAGGGAGGGCGGTCGGGAAGGGAAATTTTTTTCCCCTCAGCGGATATTGAAGCGTGGAATCAGGTCTTCCCAATCATTCCCGACGGGGGACTGGAATGAAAAGAAGTACAAATAGGCATGGTTCAAGAAATATCAGTTGAGCATTGGAGAATAGAAAAAGGGAAGTGGGAATGGAGGGGCAGAACCGGCGGCGCAATTCGGGTGAAATGACACGGCCTTGCATACGGGCTTTGTTACTTGTATATTGCTTATTCTGTGCTTTCTTAGTCTCGCATTCTCATTTCTAGTCTATTCTATGCTTTCTCTTCGATTCCATAGTGTGTATTTTGTTCTCCAGGTTGTACTGATCACTTTATGGTCATGTGACTCTATCCCAAATGCGTCAACTTGTCAACTCCAATTTCTTTAAACTCTCAAGTTCTTCGGGTCTCAGGTCGGAGTTAGTCCAGACACCCTGAAATGTGCTTCGTCTCGTGTGTGGGTAAAGACCCTAACTCCGGCTTGGTACCGAGTGGGAAACCCGGAACGGTTTGACAAGAGAGTATAGATCTGCCGATCAGGCAATTAGAAAGAGACATACATGCACTACGTTCGTAGTAGAAATAAAAGTGTACTGTAGAATCCCCTTACCGCCATTGTAGAGAACCGGCGTATTTACACCCCGCCAACTCCCCTCTCATCACTCTCTCTCTCTCTCTCTCTTCTCTATACACATCGCCACCACAAGGGGCCAAAGTCCGAGATGCAACCAGTTGACGCCGAACGCGCGCGAGAATTGTCGCTATTCCGCCCACTAGGTCAGTCCCACTTCGCTGCAGGGAACCACTGAAGTAGAGCTCCGTTACCCCGTGGCGCTTCCACTGGTCCTGATTTGGGCTTACAGTAGATCTAATGTTATGCAGGTTACCAAAGGAACTCGTGTGGTTACTGCAAGTCCGACAATGGAAGTACGTTGCCTCATTCTGCCTTCTTTTTCATAGTTGACCCGTTGACACGTAACAGGTGCATCGTACTACACCAGTTCCACGTCCGTACGCCCGCACCACTATGAGGAATTGGTCAATTGCGGATGGAGAAGGTTTGGTCCTTTAGATGAGAGATGACCTGTAACCCACAACTGACATCCACAGATCGGGTTCTCTTTACTACAAACAGAACCTGCAGCGGTCGTGTTGTCCTCATTACACCCTGAGACTTGAGGCTTCCGAATATCGGCCCCGCCGCGATCAGCGGAAGGCAATCAACCGATGGAACAAATTCATTCTGGGCCCAGAGTATATGCGCAAGGCAGCCCGGCTCTGCCCGCGCACTCGCGAGTATGCATCTTCATTCTCCGTTGGCCATTGTTACTTGAATCGCTGCTGACAATTTAACAGGGAGAAAAAGCACCGCAAATGCAACTTCGATGTGGTGACTGCCGTCCACGAGTCGGAGTACAGCAATGTCAAGCGGCCCGTGGATCCTGCTACCAAGCGTCCACTAGAACCAGCGCATCGCTTCGAAGTTAACATCGAAGGCGACTCTGTGTCTCAGGCAAAGTTCGAGCTGTTCCGAAAGTACCAGACGGCCATCCATAAAGAGGATGTATCTCGATGGAAGCCGAAGGACTTTCAGCGATTCCTCTGCTCAGGTCTTCAGCGATCGCCTGCCTCAGCACAGAACAGCTCCGAAAAGAAAATCGGCTCCTGGCACCAATGCTATCGTCTCGATGGAGAGCTAGTCGCAGTCGCGGTCCTGGACTTGGTTCCAAACGGCGTCAGCTCCGTCTACGTCTTGTAAGCTGAGTGAAGTAATAGGCCCTACTACTGTGATATGTGATAAGCTGACACAGTCCGTACCACACAGCTACGACCCAGCATATGAGCAATGGGAATTCGGAAAGCTGAGCGCGATGCGCGAAATTGCCTTCTCGCTCGAGAACGATTACCGCTACTACTACATGGGTAGGTCGCAGTCGTGAAACCATTCCCTGCCTGTGGGTTACGTTTCTAATTATCCGGATATAGGGTACTACATTCATTCCTGCCAGAAGATGCGCTACAAGGCCAACTTCCGACCCCAGTACATCCTCGGTATGTTCCACCCCGTGTGCCGGTATTAACCATTGAGAGTGCCGTGCCACCTATGAGATTTTGGGCACAAGATCTGACCCTTTTTTCCCCGTTACGCAGACCCTGAAACCAATACCTGGGATCCGCTTGATGGCGAGTTGACCGAGAAACTTAATTCTCGTCCTTATGTTTCCATGTCTCGGGATCGTGCTTCTACCCCTGGAATCCCGGCACCTGCGCCTGAGCCCCTTGAAGATGAAGAGCAGATGTCTCTCTTTGATGTCCATATGCCTGGTGTCATGACCGCGCCGGAAGTGGAAGCAATGGATCTGGGTAAATGGCTGTTGGTGGTTAAGCAGCACTTTGTCCATATGGAGGTATGCAGACCACTCTTCTTACTGAGGGTCATTATTTACTGATTTCATCTAGGATCTGGTCGACTGGGAAAAAACAACCATCACTTCGCCTATGTCTATAAAGGGCATGGTTGCTGAATTGGCTGCGGTCTTGGGTCCTAACATTGTGAAGAACAGCGCAGTGGACTTGTTCAGTTGATCAAATTCCCTGTCTTACTGATACCAAAGGCGTTGATTTGCTATGCAGAATGATATAGAACTAGGAGCATGGAAGGAAGTGGATGCATGGAGTTGAATTATGTTTGTTGTAGAAGCATTGTTAGATGGTAGTATGGATTTCCTACTTCGTTTCTCATCCGTTACTTTTCATAACTCGCATGCTATACGCTTTGAATCACCGGCAAGTTGTGAGGCCTACAGTCATGATCCAGTCACCTGATACGGTTATTATAGAAAAGACTCAGCTCTCTCAGATCCCATTCAACCTACCGATATAAAATCGCAAAACCCCTCACCTTATATACTCATCCTTCCCCCTACTCACACCCATCGCATTCGCATAAAGCTGGAGAAGACTTCAGGTTAGAATATAGTTACACCTGGAAGCTTTGCGTGGATTCATCATTCTTCCTTATCAGCGCCCTTTTGGTAGAGCGGAATCTGATTGCTTTGGTATGTCATAACAGCATACCAAAAGCCTTCAACTATCAACTAGAACGGACTTCGATACTGACGAAAAGTCTCCAAAGTAGAAGCCCCTCTCAAAATCTCCTGCAACAACCCTGAATAATCCCAACCACACGCCGTAGCCGCCATAGCAGTCAAACTAGCCTGATCTTCACGACCTGGACGTCCAGGCCCAGTCATATTCTGCAAAACCCATTAGTCCTCGAACCAAACAAACACACGAATCAGTAATACATGTACATGTACATACCGGTTTCATATTAACATCAAAAATAGCAAATCCAGACCCAGGTCCAAACCGCCGAACATCAATCCGAATAGGCGCCGTAGCCTTAATCAAACAAGCCACATGCTCACATTGCCTCATCACCTCTTCATAAGCCGGATCCCGCATTTCCTCCTCGGAAACAACGCGCGAGTTAGCAGTAACAGCGATTGTCCCATTATACGGCGCGATTCCCTGATCATGATTGAACCTAGTCACAGGCGGCATACTCCAATAACCCAATCTACCAGAGCCAGGGGAAGGAGGCATAACGGTGATAGTAGCTTCTTCGCCAGCGAGAAACTCTTCAAGAAGAACGACCGGCGATTCATCAAAAAGTGATTCAATATGATCTTTCAATTCAGCGGGGTCGTGGCACACTTTCACGCCGTGGCTTCCACGGCCGCGAACTGGTTTCCCAACGATTGGGTAGTCCGTAATGTTTGTCTGTATGAATGAATCCAGATCCAGGGGAGGATGATCGGTGGCCTTCACTTCCCATGATTTGGGTAGTGTGAATGACCCGCCCAGAGAGCGGAGTTTATCGTTTAGGTAGAGCTTGTCGTCGAATTTCTCGACTAGACCTGGTGGCTGGCCAATTACCCGGACGGTGGACGCATGGTCATCTAGACAAGATGCTGTTTGGAGAGGGTGGGATGAGAAGACGATCGTATTTGCCCAGAGGTGTGTTGCGCCTTGGGAGATTGCGGTAAGAATTCCTTCTTCTGAGTCTGGGAAACACCATCCTTCGTGGGTGTCTGGGGATGGGTTTGGTTTGGATGTTATTATATTCACTCCTGTTGAGCGGAGTGTATAGGCGATGTCTGCGCCGGAGTCTTGGTAGCCTGGGGATATAATCAGTCTCTGTGATTGTGTGATTATATGGAGGGATATATTTATTTGTGAGCTTAGGACTTAACTCACCACCTGGCTTGCGCGGTTTGCGAACTCCGTTTATGATAGGGGGGTCAATTGCTTGGAATAATACTGCGACAGTGGGCATGGTGGTTGACTGGCTGTTCCATCGTACTCCTTTGGTTATTTGGAGTGGACACCGCGACAATTTCAACATGGCGAGGGAGTTGAGATGTCATGGAGAGTTGGTAGTTTTAAGAATCGGCTCTATGGGCGGCACAGTCCG